AGGGAAAGAAATGTAACGTAACGATGTCGCAGGGCCTGCGATGTTTGTTGGACTAGATGATCTCCAGAGGTCCCTTCCTACCTCAGCCACGATTCTGATTTCCTTTGTTTCACCTCTTCTGGATGGGAGAAGTTGGGCAAATTACCCAAGCTAGCATTTGCACCTCTACAGCCTCAGCTACAAGGAAGCATGCAGGAAAGCGTGCTGGCTGCTCCATGCTGTGTGAACCCAGGTCTCCAGCACCTCCAGAGGTGGAGGAGGGATTTTGCTTAAGGAATGGCGGTCTGGTTTGAGTTAAACCTGACAGAAAAGCTTAGGGCGGCTGTGCAGAGACGGACTGCCTCTGAGCCTGCTGTTGCTAACGAGGTGATGGGGTAGTTTCTTCAGTGAAGCTCAGAGGCCTGGGTTTTGACAGGTGAAGATGGAATTACATCCCTGATGTAACTGCTGCTGGTGGAGAGTGCTAGGAATGTGGGCAAAAATCAAGACTTTCATAGGCCACGTGTTATGTCCCACTTAAAAGACAGGTACCCACAGATCTTTACCTGTGTCAGCTATGAACCCCTGAGCAGGGTGCCCACAAGCACCCACAAGAGACGCAGCAGAAGCAAAAACAGCAATGAGGCAGCGATGGTCCCAGGCCTTCATGGTCTTCCTCATGCGAGGACCCCCTGTTGGGAGCAGTCCAGCGGTGGACACGGGGCAGCTCTGCAGTGCAGCACTATGGAAGCAAATCTCAGCCCCCGGAGGGATCAGCACATGCAAAGCTGTGTTTCTGGTGGAGTAGGATGGTTCTCGTCTGCAAGGAAATGGCTTCTGTGGTTTCAGCCCAGCTTTTCCTGGAAAGTGCCCAGCTCCCACCTCACGCCTATCTGCTCTTCCCGCATGACTCACACATGCATACAAAATCCCGTAGGTGGGTATTCACTACCCTTTAAAGGAGGCAACATCTTCTTAGAAGTGAGACAGGGATCACATCCTGGGCAACGTGGCAAGGGGCAACGGTTAGAAAAGGGGATGGAGAATTAGGGTCCTGGGTCTGCCATTCCTCACATCGCTTCTTGCATCTTACGTGGCCTTTAGAAAGCTACTTTGCTGCTCTGTGCCTCAGTTTCCCCATCTGGATGGGAACCATGTCTGGAGGGAAGGAGTACAGGATCAGACCTGAGAGATTAACACTGTGCAAATACTGCCACACTCAGGAGCGGTATGAAGATACATGAAGTCCCCTTCCAAAAGCATCAGAACCCATAGGGTTATAAATGAGGGCACTTAAAGTAAGGTTTTGCAAAGGTTGCATTTGTCTGTCCATCTCTATTTCTCTATCTACTGCACACGTATCCATCTATCTATCAACTTATCTGTTAATCTATCTGCCTTTATATTTCCTATTTGTGAAACGGCTGCGCTCTTCCAGAGCTGACAACTCTTTAGAATAAATGCATACAGTGATAGTTGGTGTTTTGCTAGGGAAAGGTCATCGAAGCTATTTGTATGACAGAGCCGAAGCCAACTCAATATCCTTCCTGTCTTGACATCCTTTTTTGGGCTGAAGTCCTTTCTGGAAGCACGCAGAGGAAAAGTGCTGAACAATCACTAGAAACATCTGCCTGTATTTCACCCTCCTGTGCCATATCCTTCAATGCTCCGTTGTCCAGGGGTAATGTCTGGTGTACGCCATGCTGGAAGAAAAAGAAATGGCTCTTTAATTACATCTACACAACACTGCTCTGCTGCTTTGTTCATCAAGCAGCAACATCTCCTGGTTTGCAGTATGTTCCTGAAGAATTCAGCTGACCTGGGAGCTCCAAGCAGAGCAAGGATGGGTTTGGAGGTCCTGCCTTGCTGCTGCGGTTTCCTTTCTCTCAAGTCTTTGTCACGACACACATGGGCTAGGCCATGTCGTGACCTCCACCTGTGTGGAGCAGGAGCCCCTCCACTCCTTCAGCCTCCAAGCGCTTCCCCCTGGAGCGAGCTCTTCCCATGAGTTTGCACGGAGACGAACAGCAGCAACGCTGGGGCCCCTTGGAAGAGGCAGGAGGGAAGAGAGGGCAGGGGTTAAATTCAGGCTTTCAAGAGCTGAAATTTTCCAAACATAAGGCGGATGTGGCACTTCCCAGATTGCATGTAAATCAGAGACACATGCTGCCTCTGGTATGGCAGCACATGTGCATTGCTTATTTGTGGGACCCACGTTATCTTCTTTTTCCTGTTTAAACCCTTCAAGGCTGAAAAAGTTAGTTTTCTCCAGTCCCCAGCCCCATGTTGCATTATAATACGGGGGTCTCTTCCCCCCAAGGACTGACAGCACAAAAGCTACTTTCAATTTTTGACCAGAGGGTCTCAAAAGTGCCCTTTCGAAACAAGCTCCAGACTTGC